AGCCTTTGCTCCCAATTTCGGATTTGCACAAAATTGCAAAATATGTCAATCGATTTGAGCCAGGGCCGTTGGGTTCAACTGACACTAAGGCCTATCTGGACAACCTTGACTTCCAATTAAGAAGCTATCCCAATGCTACAGTTGAGGATAAAGTATGTTTGATCAGGCTCACTTCATCCAGGATGGTGTTTTCCTTCATAGAGCGTCAACCTGATGCCACAAGAAAGGATTACCGCCTGTTATGTGCTGCTCTTATGAAAGAGTATTCACCCTGCACGGGACCTGGTGGGTATCCAGCCGCCGACAAGGTCATGCAAGGTAAGAATGAGCACCCCAGGGCATATTATTCCAGGATTTTGCAGGCTTATTTTGGTTGCAGGAACAAGGCCAACATGGAGGAAGAAGAATCGTTTAAGTACGTGTTCAGCAAAAATCTCCACCCTGACATAAGGATGTCGGTGCAAATGATGGCTAATTTCAAAGAGAAATCCATCAGTGAGATAAAAAGTTGTGCTGTGAATGTTTTTGAAGCATGTTCACAGGCCAAAACACCCTTTGAGGTGTACCCAGGTGAGTAGATTCCTGCCCAGTCATTGGAAATGGAAGGGACGAGAGCTTCGACTCCCCCTCTCAAAACAGGCGAGAGGAAACGAGGTTTCCCAGCAGCCAAACAGGTGAATGCCCCCTGGTCCAGACGAGATCCTAAACGGTTTCCCAAGGAAACAGAGGATGAACGATCGTACCAGAAGGGGGGCGAACGCCCTAAGGGTAAAAAGTATGGCACCAAAAGTGACCCATACATCTAGGGATCCCACTGGGAACCCCAAAAGGGCGGTACTGTTTCCCCACCATGTTGGGCTGAACAGCCTGAGACAGAAAAGAAACAGCAGGAGGTCTAGAAAAAGAACCGTGATCCTCTGAGCTCGGACGAGACACACAGGGTGCGTTAATTGTTGGATGGTGTTGCCACGGACAAACAACCTAACGCTTTGTTTGGCGATATCATTGCTTATAAGTCGGAGCACACAGACAACACCGTTACTGCTGTCACAGACAGTCACCATGACGCAGTTGTGGTAAACTCTGACATGCCCTCACCAGAGATGGGGGGCGGGGTACAATCACACGTCACAGACGGTAACCCGTCACAAACTGAAACCTCAGCAGCAGAAATAGCTGCGTTAACGGTTCAGGGTGACACAAACAACAAAGTTGCCGCTGTCTCAGATAGCCACCAGAACCTTGTTGTTACAAACAATGAGAGCCCCTCAACACGTGGTGAGCGGGTGATCTCATACATCAATGACGGACGCCCGTCAAAAGCCAAACTCTCAGGAGCAGCAGCAACTGCACCAACGGTTCGGAAAAACCAGGATGACACAGGTCAAATCAACTGTGAAACAGTAGTAATGATTTTTTTAATCCTCATTCAAAGTAGAAATCAAGTTAAATGTCTATTTTACAAAGTAATTATGCATTTTTGATCTTCTGTCTGAAATGAGAAGGAGTGATGTCGGTCAAAAGTCGGAGACAGTCGCAAACAAGTTATTGGAACGTAAAAGTGACCGGAAGCAGAACTCTTTTAAAAGTCGACACTTCCTAGTTCCAGTGGTGAGTTGTGAGAGAGTTGGTTGGTTCCGTGACTTCTTCTGGTTCTGATGGAGTTCGGCTGGAGTAACTAGGAGTTCTTCCGAGTCTAGTTGGGATTATGGAGCCTTCCACATCTGAGTGGAACCTCTGACGGACTCACAGCTCGCTGTGAGTTCACCCGGGAGGTGAGCGTGTTGTTGAATGGAGTACCGTCACTACTTCGGACGATTCTCAGCCATCCTAAGGAGACGTTGAAAGGTAGCGTTGAAATGGAACTCCGTACCAGAGCTGACCTATCCTCTGCAAAGGTAACGAGTCGCTTCACTACCTAGCGTACCGAGGCTGAGCTGGGGTCGGATGAAGGGTGCCATTCCTTGTCAACACACTTTCCTCATCAATCATTTTCTCTCCATTAAAACTCATTCATTTCCCATCTTTAAACTTCTATCTTGCCAGTAATTAAGCCAGATATCTTCAGAAATGTTTGTTGTTTTTATTAAGTAAAACGTGCCAAGTTTTATTAATCAGAGCCGATCAGAATAATCAAGTGTACAATGCTTTGATGTTAAATTTTGATTCTGTTAATAAATGACCACATTTATTTT